TATCCTTTCAGTGTATTGTCCATTTCTGATATTCTATTATTAATCATTTGGACCTCTTTCTGTAGGTTTTGAATTGTTTCCAATGCTGTATCTATCTTATTTGATTGTTTCTGTAATGCTTTCCTGACTTCTTCCTTATTTTTCTCAACTCCATTGTATAGTGTTTTGATACATTTTATAATCATTTTTCTGAATTCCTTCTCAGGCATTTCCAAAGCCTGCCCATCTTTCAGCATGGAGTGTAGGTCTACTTCTAGCTCATTTGCCTCAGTCACTTTATCTCGTTTCTGGACATGTGCTGATATGGTCATCTGTTTCTGGTTTTTGGGGCATATTCAGTATTTAATTGTGGCCTTAATACTTAGATGGGTGTGTATTTTGAAATTTATTTTTTGTGCTTTCTGATTACATCCAGGTAGATGTGATCAGGAGATGTGCTTCCCTTTTTACTCTTCTTCCTTAGAAATTTCAAGATGCCACTGTTGGTTGTTGTGATGTAACTCAGAATTTAATTTTTGGCCTATTTCCTTTTTAGTATGCCTGTCCCGCTCCACAATCCCAGTTCAGGCCTTTTTCTTAGTGATAAACAGTTCAGGGCTGGCTGACTACGGTCATTTTGCACTGCCGTTTGGTTTTAAGTGGAAACTGTCACTTTAAATTTCAAGGAGATCTGTGTGCATGTGTAGTAGAACCCTCTGGGGGTGGGGTGTGGGTGGGGTGCCCACTCACTTAGGCATCCCCTCTAGTCACCAGAATGGAGGTGCACAGACAGTGAGAGACCAATGAACAGAAACAAATTAAAAAAAAGAATGTCCAGACCTTTATCTCCATGGTTCTCTCAGGCGTCTGTGGCTGCTCTGATCCTTCCCTAGGTTGGTCTCACCCAAGATGGTAGCTCCAGAAGTAGCTAAACATCTTGGATTAGAAAGCAATGGATTTCTTGCTTCTGCTACAAATTCCCCTAGCTGTAAGCCTTCCAAGCTTCTAAATATTCCCTTATATGTGGTTCAGAGTTCTGGCACCATTCCTGAGCCTGCTTGGTCCTGTATTCTGTGTTGTTGCTGATGGAGCTCCTCACTGCACTGCCACCCGATCCGCCATCTTGTTTGTTCTCCTTTATTGTTTGATTTATTAACTGCTACTTCCATGAGTGTTGATTTTGGATCCAAGCAAAAATCTTTGACAACTTCATTTTTTTTTTTTTTCATTTATTATGATGTTATTTATTGGTCCATGTGAGGATTTTGGTTTTCTTCACATTGAGGTGCAATCAATACTGAAGACTCTAGTCTAGTACCTAGAAGGCATAATATATAAATGTTAGCTATGGTTTTTATTATTGGTTTGTAGAAATATTAGATACAAAGTTAGCACAGAGAAGGGTGCTTTGTGGAAGAGGAGGTTGATCTTTGGGGGAGACCTGTTGTTTCTGAGGAAGAGTTTCCTACTGTATCTTACCTGTAATCTCAGCTGTCCATATAACCCCACTACCTAGGTGACTTGTTTGGATTTCCACTTCCTCAAGCCATGAAGGAAGCCTTAAGCCTCAAGCCCTTCAGGTCTTCTATCCACATGATCCTGGCAATGACTGCCCTGTTTTCTCAAATGGGTGTTAGAGGTGGGATGGGACAAACCCTTATCCAGTGCCAGGGTGAGATTGCCAGGGAAAACGAGTCGAGTGTCTGACACATTGGCACTCTTTTGCCCAATAGAAAGATAAACATGGCTGACAACTTCTCTCCCGGTGTCTAAAGGCTGGGAGACATTTCTTTTCCTTGACCTCTGAGAGCCCAACTTTCTGAGAGCCCAACTTTCTGCCTATCAGGAATAGAACTCACTGTGTACCTGCCTGGTCACTTGCTAGGGTATCACCTGTGTGTCCAGAGAGCTGCTGAATAACACAGTGTAACTAGGTGACTGTGCCAACAGCTCACTACCAAAAGTCACAAGAGAAAGAGCCCACCCACTGCGCCACAGCAGATGGGGACACTACTCATCTGCCAGCTGAACGACCGCTCTCCACACTGAGCCCTACAACATCTTGTCCCTTAGATTTCTCAAGCACAGGATGTGGGACTAGAAGTGGCTTTAGAGTGGGCACGGAAGAACTTGTGTCCAGAGAATGGGGGTTTAGAGACTTGTGATGCAAGTGGCTCTGGGAGGCTGCCAGTGGGAAGGAAACAGTTCTGTAGCAGGTACCGAAGGGCCTCACACACACAGGAATCCCAGGCACCCTTCCCTCTAGAGTGGTAGTAATCCTCTCCCTTTTCTACAACCCCGTACTCTTCCTACAGCTGGTCCCCTACTCCATCATTCATATATCTCCTCCTTCAAGGAGACCCAGGATACTTCCCACCTACATCACAATATCTGTGCTTAGAGACGGATGGCAGTTAGGTCTTTTGGAGGTAGATCATGGCCCTGGGTACTTCTTGTTCCTCAGTTGCAGAGTAGGAGTTGGGCTGAGTGTTGGGGGTGCTGGGGAGGGGAGAGGGAGCCATCAGGCCTTGGGGAGTTTCTCAATGTTCTGGTTTCACTGCTAGCTCTCACACCCAGCAATACCAATAAAATTGATGATAATAATTAAGACTATATAATCACTGTGTGTTTATTTATCCCCAAGAAGCTTCCTTTCCCCAGTCCCCATCATTACCCATTCCATCCTTTAGCTAGGTGGTGGGTGTTAACTATGGCTCTAATAAAAAATAATAACTGTCCATGTTTCTAGTCACCCACAGCCCTAGGCGGCTCTACTTTCACCCTCACCTCAGCATTGTGAGGTGGAGGGAAGAATATGCAGGGTCAGGGGGAAATTGTTCTCCCCACTTTCAGTGAGAGGAACTATGGTGATCTGCACAAGGTATGACAAAGGATGAAATCTCACATGCTAAATTGTAAAAGTAACAATGTTTGCCTTCTTTTCAATAGTTCCTGGGTGGCACATATGGTTTGTTCTTGACTATTCACCTAAAGTCATCCTAGTGTGGCTCTGTAGGATCAGCACTGGACTGAAAACCACAAATGCACCAGCTACTCCTTGGTTCAAACCCACCAGCTACTCCTTAGACACCCTATACAGGGATAATTGTGTCGGAATTGACTTGATGGCACTTAACAACAACTAACCTAAAAGTGGCGCTGTGGAAGAAAGGCCTGGTGATCTGCTTTCATAAAGATTTTGGCTTAGAAAATCCTATGTAGCAGCTCTCCTCTGTAGCACATGGGGTCACTATGAGTCAGAATCTACCTCACAGCAACAGGTTTGACTTTTTGTTTTGAGTGGTACACATGGTTAAGTACTTGACAACTAACTGAATGGTGAGCAGCTCAAACCTACCCAGATGCACCTTGAAAGAAAGGCCTAGAAGATGGGAGATCTGCTTTTGAAAGGTCACAGGCTTAAAAAGTCTATGGAGCACATGGACTCAACTTTATGACAGTAAGTTTTTTTTTTCCTCTTTCTGGTTTATGCCTCCCTCTCAGAGGAAGTTCTCAAGTTCTCTGTTCTACTCCCAGCTTCTCAGACATCCCTCAGAAGATGGGTCAAGCCAAGCATTCAACCCTCCTGGTGTTGTGCTGTGGGATAATGCACTGGACCGCAAGGTCGATTTGAATCGCAAGGTCAGCAGTTCAAATTCAACAGCCAGTCCTTAGAAACTCTATACAGGGTCGCTGAGTCAGAACCACTTAACAACAACCCGCAATATATGGCACCGTATTAAGTTACAGGTAATGGAGTGACAAGAGTCTCAGGGTGGTGGAACTTGCATAACGTACTCTTTGACGGAACATATCCTGGACATTAAGTGAGGCATGACTGTATTAAGCTCTCAAGAAAGGATCTTTGTGTGCTTGTCTCAGAGGAATAGGTGGAATTTCAAACTTCTATTGTAGCACTATAGCATCAACACTGGACTGCGAACCACAAGTTGTGCGGTTCAAACCCACCAGCTGGGAAACCTTATACAGAGTCACTATGAGTCGACCTTATTCAACAAGAGATGAAGGGATGTTGGAGTCTGCTCAGAATCTTTCAGATCATGGTGGTCAACACGCCCAGTTGTGTGGGCTCTCGAAGTGAATACAGAGAAAAGTGAACCCTTTTGGGGTGAGTGGGTGGTGGTGATGAGTAGTCTTCAGGCTCACAGGATCTTGGTGGCCCAGTGTGGTGTAGGAACCGAATTTGTGGCGCTCAGCCAAGCTTTCTGCAATTTTGAGCCTGCGGTAGCCCTTTTCATATCCTTTCCTATTTTAGAGAGGGGAAAAAATGAGGCAAAAAGAAAGAATATTTAGAGAAACTAGTGATGAGGTGCGAAAACGATGTAATTCAGATTTCCTTCGTCCCGTTTAGTACTGCTTTCCACTCTCCATAGTCTTTAGGATGAGGACGCCTATTCCACCTACCTTTTTCTTTCGCAAGGTCGGTGCGCACCGCCCTTTAAGGGGCAGGACTCCCACAGCCTGTCCTCGGACCCGCCCCTGCTTTTGGGCCGCGCTGCGCCTGCGCCAAGCGCCGGAGACCTGGGGTTGGGCCGCGCTCAGTTCCTTGCAACTTTTAAGTGAGTTGTAAACTCCGCCCCCGGGGCCGGTGCGGTGGCTGGGCTTACCGGGACTACCGGGACCCGCACGAGCGAAGGCGTGATCTGCCATTAGGCCCAGGACTAGCAGCGGCGCTGCACTAGGGCCAAACGCGCGATTCTTCGCGGCAGGAAGTGCCGGTAGGAACCGTAACTGCCTGGGAGGCGTGGCGGAGGATCGCGCCGTCTGTTCCCCGCTCGCTGATCGGCTTCCTCCTGCCGGGACTGCCTCGACCCCCAGCACGCTGGTCTCTCGGTTCTTCAGGCTCCCGGCTCTGCGGAGTGAGTAGGCCGGGGAACCAAAGGCAGCCGGACAACTCTTCCAGTTCCCGCATCTCTATTGATTCCCCCACCCGAGCCCCCGAGTGAACGTCCCTCTGGGCGTCATCTTGGGGGTCTCCCCTAGCTCCCAAGGTTGGCAGGATGGTGTCCCGACTAATCTGTCGTCTGGTGGTGTGAGTATGACTTTTACACTCTCTCTACTCCCGGGAACTGTCTCGCCCCTGGGGTGGAATCTGGGGACGTCTGGTAGGGACTTTCTGGCTAGGAATGTCCAAAAGGGGACTTTCTGAGCTCCATCACATTCCTACCCCACCCCCACTCTATCTCAGCATTCACCGCAAGGGTTAACGGGCCTGATGAGCTTAAGTAGGCACCCTGTGCTTGATCTCGCCTCCCCTCCCCCCCCACCTCAGGCCCGTTCTCCCCAAGTCTTCTTGGGTGATGGTGACCCTTCCCGCGCTCACATGCACATTGCAGAAGGGTGTGTGCAGTGGAGAGTCACAGGTCAACCCACAGTCCCTTGGCAAACACAAGGTGTTGTGGCACACTGTGGGCGGAGAATCCAGGTGTCTGCTTCTGATCTGAGTAGTCACATGACTCACCACCCTGGCCTCAGCCTCCCCGCTCTGTCCTACTCCTCACCTTTGAGCACTCTGGCACCTGGCCCCAATATCCCTCCCTGTCTGCTGTTTGGCAGTGCCAGGTCTGGTGGCCCTGGGTCTGATTGCATCCCCATGGGAGGGGACAGCCTGGTGCTCTCACCTGCTCCAGAGCCTGCCTCCCCCTGCCCCAGCTCATTGAACGTCTGCGTGCTCTCTCCAGCATGCACCCATGGGCCACTGGCGCAGGCCTGGGCAGGCTTGGGGTGTTTGTAAACAGCAGGGTGGGGAGGTGGCCTCCAGGGCACTGACTCAGGTGCGGGTTGTGCAAGCCAAGCGGGAAAAACAGGGCCAGCAGTGTCACCTCGCACAACAGTGGGGGAGGTGGGCATCTGGTGGGGTGCGAATGCATGTGGGGTCCCTCACACTCTGCCTCTCCTCTCTGGGATGCTCTTCCAGGCTGGCGTTTGGGATGCTGTACCCTGCTTATGCTTCCTACAAAGCTGTGAAGACCAAGAACATTCGTGAATATGTGAGGGCAGGGGTGGCAAAGAGGGCTTGGCTGAGGTCCCTGTGGACTGACAGCCTGGGAGGAGGGTGCATGTCTTTAAGCTTGGCACCCACAGGACTTGGTAACTTGGTGAGGTGAGGAAGCTCTTAGTTGGCCTCCCCCTTCTCCAGGGGTACAGTCTTGTGGCATATCATAAGTGGAGGACAAAGAGAGAAAAGGCCATGTAGGTGTGAATGGAGTAGGTGTGAATGGAGTGAGGGATGTCTGCCTGGGCATTGAGTGACTATGGAAGATCTTATGGGTGTAGCCCACGGGGTGGGTACAGGAATGAGAAGCAGTTTCTCAGAGGTGCCTGTACAGGGCCAACCAGGAGAAGGCAACAGTCAGGCACACTGGAATCTCTGGGCTAGGTCAGCGAAGGAGAGGAGGCGGTGTAGCTTCTGAGCTCTGACCTTTCTGTCTCCCGCAGGTCCGATGGATGATGTACTGGATTGTCTTTGCATTCTTCATGTCAGTGGAGACCTTCACTGACGTCTTTATCTCCTGGTGTGGGCGCAGGGGTCCATGGGCAGTGGGGTGGGTGGGGGTGGCCCACCTGGGCCTGGCTCCCTTTCTCACCTTGCTCCCCTCTGCTCTGGCAGGTTCCCTTTCTATTATGAGATCAAGATGGCTTTTGTGTTGTGGTTGCTCTCACCCTATACTAAGGGAGCCAGCCTACTTTATCGCAAGTTTGTCCACCCGTCCCTTTCCCGCCATGAGAAGGTAACACACCCTAGGGGGAGGTGAGGAAGCATGCACAGTAGTGGGTATGAGGAAAAGAACACAGCTTCAGGATATTGGAGACACCTGAGTTCTAATCCCAACCCTGTTGCTGTTTAATTGTGGGACCTCTACAGGGCCTACTCTTCCTCATATGCCGTGATAATCAAATAGGGGCTGCATATGAAGGACCTTTTAGGGCCGTGATAAGGGGATAGGGCTGTAGTAGATAGCTGGAAGTTGGTTTAGGGATGGTGAGAGTAGGTGAGTGGGTGGGAAACCCTGTTCTTGGTGTGTGTTCTGGTGCATTGTGCATAGGGGTAGGCCTGGGAGACAGGGCATCCGGTATCTTCTCTGGGGTCTACAGTGGAGAAATTACTCTGGCTGGCCACCTGAACTCTTCTTCCCTGGGTCTGCAGGAAATTGATATATACATCGTGCAGGCCAAGGAACGCAGCTACGAGACAATGCTCAGCTTTGGGAAGCGCAGCCTCAACTTCGCTGCCTCAGCTGCTGTGCAGGCTGCCACTAAGGTGCTGGACCCCCATTCCTCTAGCAGCCTCTCCACCCTACCCCTTCTGAGTGCTTCCAGCTCTGTCAGGGAGCCAAGAGATAGCAGCTGACTGCCAGGGGAATAGGAGGGGAGAAGATGACAGGTGGAGTGTTGGTAGGAGCATGGAGCTCTGGGAGTTTAAGGTTTTCTGGCTCTGATACTGACTGTCAGCAGGTTACTCTTCCACTCTAGTTTTCTGTTGGTGCCACAAAGCCATGGGACTAGATGGTTGCTGAGTTCCTTTTAGTTCAGAGTCCTGCCCCCCAGTGATTACTCTCAGCTAGAGCTTTGATTTACCCAGACAGCTTCTGGCTAGGAGCCCCCTCCCAGATGACTGAGCGGCTACTCTGTCTTACAGAGTCAAGGTGCACTGGCTGGCAGGCTGCGGAGCTTTTCCATGCAGGACCTGCGCTCCATCCCTGACACCCCTACCCCCACCTACCAAGATCCCCTCTACCTGGAGGACCAGGTGCCCCGCCGGAGACCACCCACTGGTGAGTGACAGAGGCACACGGAAAGCTGACCTGAGAGGAATGACCTTTTTCCATCCACGTTATGGCTCCGCCCAGGATTGAAGACAGGCCTGACTCAGCCCTGAACCTCAAGACTAGAAATGGCCAGCTCCACTTCACCCTGACCTCCATGTTGTCTCCACAGGATACCGGGCAGGGGGCCTGCAGGACAGTGACACAGAGGGTGAATGTTGGTCAGATACTGAGACCATCCCTCAGCCACCAGCCCGGCCCCGAGAGAAACCTCTGAGCCGTAGCCAGAGCCTGCGTGTGATCAAGAGGAAGCCATTAGTGCGGGAGGTCAGTGGTGAGGAAGGCGTCAGGGACGTGGGCTCCTGTGTCTTCCAGTCCAGACTTCTCATAAGGTACCTGTTGTTTCTCCTGCAGGGCACTTCACGCTCCCTGAAGGTTCGGACAAGGAAAAAGGCTGTGCCTTCAGACCTGGACAGTTAAGAGTCTGAGGAGTCTGGTCCAGTCTTACCTCATGCCGTGCAGGGAGCTGGGGGCCATTTTGAGGGGATCTTTGCCTGCTCATCTGACCTGCTTGTATCAGCTGCCGCAGCTCTGCCTCTCCTGACCTCCACTGTTGGTTCAGGACCAGGAGCACACCCAGGGATGCATCCACAATGTACCAAAGCAGGCTGGTTCAGGGTTTTATTTATTGCCTTTCTCATTCCTTAGGTATGGGACCAGAGCTCCCTCCAACCTCTGCAAATGAAACCAAAAACCCACCCAGCTGTGTTTATTCAAAGTACTTGACAGGCCTTTTCCAAGGCCCCTTGTGTGTATGTATGTATGTTTGTCTGTTCTGGTTGTATGTTTTGTGTTGGTGAATGAGGTCAGGCTTGTGAAAATTTTGATAAATAAAGACAAAAGTATTCCATGTCTCGTGGCTTATATCCCACTTCATCAAACATCAGAAGTCGTGGTAGCATAGTGACTTACGAGCTGGTCTGTTAACTGCAAGGTCAGTAATTTAAATCTACCAGTCATTCTGAGGGAAAAAGATGACGCCTTCTGCTCCCATAAAGACTTACAACCCCAGAAACCCTTTCCAGGGTCGCTGTGAGTTGGAACCAACTCCATGGCACATAACCAACCAGCAAGCATTTTTGTTTTACTTAAATTTTTTGTGTGAATTGAGTAAATGTTTACAGAGTAGACCATCAATCTTGCATTTAACAGTTCATACATGATTTGTTTCATTTTACTGATTATGATCCCTTCAGAGTAACATCGGAGTTCTGGTGGCGCTATGGGTTAATGCGCCTGGACTTCAAAGTCAGTTTGAACTGCAATGTCAGTGATTCAAGTTCATCCGCTGCTCCATGGAAACCCTATACAAGGTTTCCTGGGTTTTTTTCTCCTACATTCCTAACCCTAAGGTGTGTGGACTGCACTAATGCTATTTTAACCCTTATAGACCTGTCTATTAACTGAAAATTTAGCTCTGGGTTAAAATGACAGATTTCCACCACCACCATTTCCCAGAGGAGCCCACAGTCTTGTTGTGGAGGACAGAGTCATCAGCAGATAGTTACACTAAGATAAGAACTCTTTCAGAGCCTGAGAGGATCTCAGTCAAGAGATTATATAACAGAAACCAGTGGTAGCAGAGGTGTGGAAGTTGTCTGGGGAAGCACGTTAGTCCGCCAAGGATGTAGTTGGAGTTGGGCAGAGATTTGTCCTGGAGAGGCCTAATTTCTCCACCCATGAACGTGGCTGTCTCCAGGTAGCACAGAAGCAGTTGGCTTCCTATAATAAACATTTGGGGACCGTTGGGAGGAGCACTACACCTCTGAGGAGTGGCCACAAGAGGGCAGCAGCTGCCAGGGTCTGAGCTGCCCCCAGCTTCCAGGTCAAGGAGGGCGGGGTTTGGAGGCAGGCTAGAGCCTCGCCCTAAGGGGGGGCCTGGCTGCTGCTGACTGGAGGGACGGGTGCAGATTTTGACGGGTCCTCTATTAGCCCTTTCTGTTACTTGTGGTCACTGGTCCTTAGCGTGTCCCATCCAAAGTTCTCTCCTCAGCTGGACTTTGATCTCTTGACACCAAGCTCTGCCTAGCCTGGCTCCATCCCATCCCTATTCCCTAGGGCAGCCAGCAGCCCACTGTTGCCCTCTCCTGCCCTCCTTGCTGGTTTCACTGCTGTGTCCCAGAGTGGCTCCCTTTCCACTTTTGATTAAGCAAAGAGGTGGGTGAGAGAATTGGATGGGATGAAGGAAAATGGGGTGTTACCCCAGAGTGGCCTGAGAGAATGTGGATTATTAACTCTTGATGTGAGGATTATTCAGGATTTATTTGGAGGAGATGTACTTAATCTGTTAGGGTGGTTTAACTCCTCACACATATTGGTGCTTTGTGGCTTCCTATTAATGGTGATCCCTTGCAGCAAAGTGTTTTCTTACCTCCACATTTATTTATTTATTCAGAAAATCTTTCTTGAGCATCTACCAGGTACCATGCTAAATGATGGAGGGACGTTAGGACTAGTAGTAGCTCACACTAGAATATAATTACCACTCTAAACCCTTGACATGGATGAATTTAATCCTCCCAATAGTCTTGGGGTGTGGCACTGTGGGATAAAGGACTGGACTGTAAAGTCGGTTTGAATCACAGAGTCAGTAGTTCAAACTCACCAGCTGCTCCTCGGAAATCCTGTACAGGGTCACTATGAGTCAGAACCAACTCAACAGCACTTAACAACAACAATAATCTATAATAAAGTCAGTCCCAATTCATAGCAACCCTGGGGTTTCCAAAGAATGGCTAGTAGGTTTGAACCTCTGACCTTGGGGTTCAAGTTGACCTTGTGGTCCAGTGCTTTATCCTACAGTGCCATACCAGGACTCTAATCTATAATAATAGTAGGTACTATTAGTATCATCTCTGTTTTATAAGTGGGGAAGAAGGCACAGACAGAGCAAGTCATTTAGCCAAGGTGACACCACTAGTAGAGGGAGAATTAGGCTTTGAATTAGGCAGTCTGCCTTCAGAGTCAGTGTGTTTAACAACTGGGAAATACTGAAGTGAATGGAATGCTTTTTCCTGAGAGGCAACGAGAGACTATCAAGTATTGAACATTTGATGTGTGCCTGGCCTTCTGCTGGGCATTTTATAGAGATTATTTTCTTGAGTCCTCACAACAAACCTGTGAGGTAAGGGTAATACCCATTCTATAGACAAAAACATTGAGCCTCAGAAAGGTGAAGCAGTTTGTCCAAGAGTGTGTTGCCTGACAGAGACACTATCTTGTGATGCAAGCCTGCCCAAGGGTTGCCTTAGTATAGGTGGCTGGGGGAATCCACATACCTAAGCAGAGTGAACAGAACAGATAATTTTCAGAGCATATAATTAACAAGCAAAATGAAATGAATATCCACAAGAAAGGAAGGTGGGGTGACACCTAACATTGTGGAGTGGTGAAGGAGATAGAGTTCACTGGGACTCCTCGGCCTTCACTTGCCCTCATTGTTAGGATAAGTGCTTAGAGTGAGCTTCAGGGTTCCTGGGACACTTTTGCTGAGCTGATGCTTTCTCAGACTCCATGACCTCCAACTCTCCCCACCAGTTTCAGCACCAGCCCTGCCACCCTGCCTTCCACCATGCTACTCCTATTGCTGCCTCTTGAACAGACCACACTCATTCCAGCTCCAGGCCTTTGCTCAGGCTGTATTACTCTCCTGCCCTCCCTTAGTTGTCCTTCCAGACCTGCTTTCTCCAAGAAGCCTTTGCTCACTAACCCCATGGCTCTTGATTACTGGCCCTTTGCTGAGCACACATGCCTTGGGCTATGCTGGAGTGCCCATTGCCTTCCATCCCCCTCCCACTCCACCTAGCCTTTACTACACCCCAACTGTTTAGTGTTCCCCAACTCATCAGCAGACTGCTGCATGCCTCTACATAGCTGGTGCTCTCTTAACATGCTCCCACATTAAGTCTCACTTCTAAACTATTTGATCTTAGAAACCCTACTAGAACATCACCTCCTCCAGGAAGCCCCCAAGCTCCCTCAAAGTTGAGTGCCCACCCTCTCCTGCACAGACTTATTGTTGTTAAGGTCCATCAAATTGGTTCCAACTCATAGAGACCCTGGAAAGGGTTTCCAAGGATCAGCTAGCAGTTTTGGACCGCCAATCTTTCAGTTAGCAGTCCAGTGTTTACCGTACAGTACCACACCAGGACTCTGCACAGACTTAAGCACATTATATTTTTTCTGCAATTATATTGTGACTTGAAGAAACACAGACTTGCATCTTAGTCACTTTTGTATATTAGCTGGGAACAAATGGTTGTTTAACCAAAGTGAAATATTTGTGTAAGTGTGTGGCTTTGTGGTGAAGGCCGACTTATTCTCTTAAGACTTTTGAGCTCAAGCATCACCTCTTCTGAGAAGCTCTCCTGACTCCCCCAGCTTTGGGCTGGAAACACCTTATAAATCACTGGTTAATAATAGGCCTGATTCCCCTAACAGTAACTTACAGTGCACAGGGCTTGATACCCAAGAGGTCTCAATGAATGTTTGTTAGTAAAGAGACTATAAGTTACTTAAGGGTTGGGATGACCACATGCTTTTATTTTTGTGCCTCGTATCTTCTTGGTATCTACCACAGACTCTTGAAAATGCCAGAGTCTCTATAATTCATATTTGGTAAATGGCTGACTGCAGTTGTATGGATTCCAAGGCATCCTTTGACCAGAGGGAAAGAAGCAAGGAGAATTCCAAGTTCTGGGCCATTTCTGGCCAAGTGTACATGTGATTCTGAGACTTGGGGCATCGGGTGTTGCCTGGACTTCCCTCAAAGCCTACATTGTGCCTCTGAGAATTACTAAGACCCTGTCCAGCACTGCTTCTCTTTAGATAGGGTCTGTGATCCACCCTTTGCCTCCTTTGATCTAGCCTCTGAGGAAGGCCACAACCTTCTCCTTTCCACCCTTGTGCCCAGTGCCTCCCCAGGCAGGATCAGATGTGGGCCTAGGACACTGATGATCCAAGCCCCATGCTGGGCACTGGATAGGCAGATGAAATAGGCAAGGCCAACCACCTTAGAAGCCACACCTCCATTTGGTCCTGGTACTAGCCTCACTTTGGCCTGGGCTCACTATTCAGTCCCCACCCACACCTTGAATTCCTTCATTTCTCCAAGTTCCTAAATGTAGATATCACCTTCATTCAAGGTCCTCCCTCCCCACACCCTCTTCTTATCATCCCCGGCCTTCAAGTTGTTCCTCTATCTCCCTACCTCTTCCTCCCCACAGACTGTTCGTCTTTGCCCATGACTGGTCCATGTCCTGGCCTCCCCTTCCCTGCTACTGGTCTCCATGTGCCCGGCACACACATGGTCCCACTGCTATATTTTTAGCTGCTACTCTAGGCCACGTAATTGGCCTCTTATTTCAACATAGCCTAGCCAGAGCTGAGTTGGGGAGTCCTGGTTGGCACTGCCCTACCCT